TTAAGAAGAAATTTTTTCATTGTTTTGTTTTGCTGAATACGGTAATGCCTATCAATCAATGTAAGCAGCATGGTAGCTATAAATTCTAAGTATGGACTTGAACCACTATTTTTACTTGACAACCACAAAATTGTTTTCCACAAACTTGTACCTGTTAGGTATCACTACTTTTGTAATTAAAGGATTATTTTGCATTTGTTAAATATTCAAAGAAAACTCAACGTAAATGTAACTGGCTACATCCACATGAACAAAAAAAATTATTATGTTGTTTATGTGCACAGTTAGTTAGTATTTAGTGGTACAAATTTTACTTAAGATAAATGGACCAAATTTTTGCCTGCATTTATAAGGCACAAATAATCTATTTTGCATTTTCTTTCATCCGACCTCTCGCGTGGCTACCAAAAGTTATCAAATTTATCGTTTACAGAGTGAAATATTGCACCATTTCAAATACATAGAGTTGTTGAGCTTCAGCGCAACTAATGTTTTAAATAACTGACCTATAAATTTTCACAATAAACAGGCACGAGAAAGAAGAACTCTATTATTTACAATGCATTTGGTAGCTACAACAAAATAAACTCTTTCCGCGTTAAAATGCATAAATCAGAATTAGCACGTCTGTGAAGTTTATTTCACTCTTTAAAGATGCAATGATAGAAGCAGCCATTTGATCATTTTACAAAATTAAGCTAACATACCAAATATCTGCTTCCAATAACACACAATTTGACCGATAGTTTTTGTACTTGAAGCTATTTCAGATACATTGATTTTGCAACCGCCGATATCAAAAGTTTTTTTCCTCAGAGAGTTATCACCGTGAGGGGGAAGTAAAATCATAAAAATCAACAAAATGCAGTCATTATAATTTTATTGTTAAGTGTAATGACGTCTGATAAAACTCTTTCTTATAGTAGCTGCAATCAAAACGTTTTGTTTGCTTACAATTCTTTAAGGGTTTTGATATAAAACGATATTTAAATAGTTGCATTTTTGGCGAAACTAGTTACTTGCAAAACAGTTGTCTACAAGCCATGAATGATGTAGTTAGATTTCTGAAAATAAGCCATGATATATTGCCGCATCACATTTATGTAAAACTATGTATTTTTCCTCAGCTGAAACGCATTGTGCCTAGACGCTTTACTGCTTATGCACGCTCCGGAAAGCGTCTCTTGGAATATGGACACTTAAGTAGAATGGGATCTAGGTAACCTTGTACGCCGATGTTTTATGTTAAATGTTTTTGAATGTTACAGTCCAGTTGCAGAGCGAGTGTTTTAAATTGAGGTCTCTATTCAGTTAGTAACAGTTGCAGAAAGCTTTGCTTACTGCGAATTTTCACTTTAAAGTTGGGATTCCGGCTGTCATTTCAAATGTCCAAGTATCCACTAGTACGCTCTGCTAAATGGACTCATGTTGGTAAACAAGTACTACATCCATCTCCAAGCAACGTGACTCAAGCGCTTAAAGACTAAACTAAGTCATGCTTAGTATATCTGTTGAACAACATTCTGGTTCCTTATTCAGATTATTTTGCGAATGAACTAAACTTATTCTGAAAGCAAACAAGCAAAATCTTTAATCGTTATGTGGTCATTCGTTCGTCGGTATCAAGCGCTGCATTTAGATAAAGCAATTAAATCATATTCGGTCTTGGTACACAAAGTGCGTGAGTTGAAGTTCCATATGTAAACCACAATTGACTAAATCACTGTGCAGCCGTCCGCTTTTGTGCATTTTATCATTAGGAAACACGCATTACCACTAGCTTAAGTTCAGGACGAAATCACCCTGCAAACGTTGCAAAATTACTCCTGTTTGTAAATACACAGTCTACTCGACCTAACCGATTTAATTTGCTAACATTAATTACGTTTAATGATAAAGGTAGGCAATGGGAAATTTTTGATTTGGCCAGCTGCATTTTGGCCTAAAATATTCCTGACAAGAATATGTTATATAAGACCTAAGATCTATGGATGATCCAAGGGGACAACAACTATTGCTTGCAAATAATTTTCCCTCTAAAAGCCATTGCTTTAACACCATCTAACATGCTATCTTAAAGCTACAACTTTGATCTTGATCCATAATGGAAGTATATGCAAAAAGCATAGTGCGGAAAACGTTCTTTTACACAAGAGTTACAATTTATCCAGTAGTCATATAACCAAAACGTAATACGCTCCCATAACGTGTTTCTCAAAAAAAATGATCGTGGTTTCGTTAATATTGTTAAACTTAGAGAATTTACTAACTCTTTTGTACAGAAGTCGCAGTTAGCGTCATACGAACAGACAGGATAATGTAAGTAAATCAATGGTAGTTGGTACAAATATACTCAAATTGTGCTAGATATTTTGCTGATCAGTTAATTCATTGATTCTTCTTCAAACATGTATTGGAGCATAATGGTTTCACAACTTACATTCTGGCAATTATCACCATAGTCAAGTACAGTGGGACGTTATATTTTCATCCGTTTTATTTATAAACTAATATTCGTTTGTAGTATATTTGCTGCACCGGACAGTTCAGGCAAAAATTAGGTAATAAATCGAGACATTAGAACAATATTCTATTTTTGACAAACAGTCGCACACATGCACGTGCTTCTATCTGAACTGCTATAAACATAGTAAAATCTGTGATTCATATCAACATTTGTTTTACAGGAATCATCTAAGCAACTACCACTGGCTTTGTAAGTACATTTTCTCACAAATTAACAAACATCCTCAAATTTTCAAACTAAACAATTAACTTTATAATTGGCGTTAAAAATACTGGACGCGTTCTTGCGCTTCTGAATATAGCAGATTTCTAGAGGTACGTTCGTAAGTAAAGCATTGTTTAATTTATCATATTACAAGAAATGCGGAAGCTACTTAAGCATCTGATTGTCCATTTTAAGTGAGCATTCAAAAAATAATCTAACTGACCCAGACAAACATTATATTTTTCAATAATGCAGTATCTGACATGTTTCTCACGCTTGAGTAAGGCACACATGCCAGGCGTCATATATTTCAACCGTTAGTTTTTTAGAGTATTCCCAGCGTTTTCAAACCAAACTCATTAATTAACTAACACATACCAACTTCACTTTGTACCCGATTTCGTACTAAGGATTTAAGTAAATAATGGAAAAATAGGCATATCAGCATATAGGGCTGCATGAGTCAAATATCCAAAAATGATGTCGCTTAAATGCTCCAATTTCTTAGTTCCTTATGTGTGTTCTGCATATCTCCGGAGTTCTTGTTTATACCATAGATTGTTTAACATAGTTATCTATTGTTTCTAATAACAGCTTAAACTCTATAGCACACCAAATATGGAAAAAGTTTGTTATGAAATCTGCCAGTCCTCTCTGATATCTGTGATAAAACTAAACAAATTTTAAAGATATGAACGGTTGAACTATCGACATGAGATGACAATTAATCCTTAATAAAATTCATTAGAATTTACTGCTTTTAAAATTTCTGCATAATAAATTTTTACCTCAGCATTGACTTTTAGGAGATTTAATGGAACTTATATGCATTAGCTTTGAGCAGTATCCAAACCAAAGGTAACTCTTGTTGGTGTAAATTTAATTTAACTTTTATTCCAACAATTACAGTTATCGTAACTGCAAATCTTTTGTACTTAGGGTATTTCCGTTTTCGCTATTCCAGGGCACCTGGCCTGATTCGATTTCTAGAGAATCAGAATCTTTACCTCGTAACGCAATCTTCTTCACTAACACCTCAATGGTAACATCTACCATTTTCTTTTGTCTCTGGGGCTGACCAAGATTTAAAAAATCTTTGTCACCATATTGCGCATTTCCAGTTTAAAAATGTATTATCTAGACTCAAAACACTTTGGGCACATGATGGTTTGTTGGATGGGATAGACACAACCCCAGTCAAAGCAGGAATAATGACATTACAAAACGACCACATTAATACTGCTTGCTTCTTACGCCCGTATCAAAACGCCAAGGTTTTTGCTTGCTTCTACTTTTATAACTCGGCTTGCAAATCCCAGATTTTTGTATATACTGCACATGGATTAACTTTAGCAAGCAGTGCAAAATAAATTAGCATTTCATATTTCCGAAACTTTAAAGTTTATGTTTCCATGGTTTTGTCTCCAGCGACATTCATATTCTTTCGATTGCATGGTTCATTCTGTTCTCCTAAAATAGTAGGACCAACTTCAACAATTAGAAGGATGAGCATGCTTATCCATCAAATTCGTGTAAAAACTATACATACAACTTCATTTCGAATGTTTAAACCGCCTTGGTATTGGTTGCATTAATCGGACATAAAGTGCAGTTTTAAGTAGTGGTAACAATGGAATTTGTTATTTCTTTACTTGGAGTTTAGATAAAAGTCAAAGCAAACACTTGCAGTTGTCGTTAAATTTACAAAAGTCTTTGCTCAATCATTTTGGCTACACGGTAGTAGTAAACAAGTTCGCTTGAAAACAAATATATTTTGATTCGTATTATGCCAGTACTGCAAACCTTGACGAAATGAGTTCTGATAGCGAAGTTGGTAAGACTCTCACTATGGACAAGTAGCGATACAACGTGCTATTGACAGCTAATCGATATATACCATATTATATGCCTAATGACATACACGTTTTTAGCGCTCGTAAACTGACAGCTATTTCCTAATAGCTGATTTACGCCTATGTGAACTGCGCTGGGAATTTGTCGCAGATAATAGTCAAGGTTCAAAAACAGAACATTTATAGGCTAGCATCCTTGTATGGAAGCAAAGTACATTCTCGATAAAACTTTCATTATTTGAGAATTCATAAACCACGTTAGTTTCTATGGCTAATAGTAAATGATATCAGCAGGCTTTCTAATTTTCCTAAAAGGTACCAGCATAGAATCTAAATCAGGGAAAGTATCGACAACGGATCTGCAAATTTCTAACGTAAGAATCATCATTGGATTTTTTTGCTGGCATTTTTTACAGATTTATTAAAAATAGAACTGACATCACCAAACTTACACGCCAAGCCAATATCCATCCGCAAATTGGTGAACCAAACGCACTTCACAAGGAATGAAATTCAAACCATTTATCAAGCCTTCAAGAACGTAAGTTAATACAAATATTTCATTTTACCTTCTCTTTGGAACAATGACTTTCCAAAACAGGTAAAGTGGTAGAGATATCAAAGGCGACGTTATTTTGCAGGAATTATGGTGCACATATTAATGTATAGCACCCCGATATATATATTTATTTTTTATTTATTTATCTTTTTATGGTACTATGCTTTTAGAGTTAATCAATAAAAAGTTAATGAGAACAAGGTGCTATTTACTTTAGCTTGCTATAATTTGTCAAACGAAGCCGATGTAAAGTAAAAAAGAAATGATCATAAAACGTAACCGGCCTTTAAAATTATAAGGGTATCTTCATATATCGCAGAAAACGTACTGAGTCCTCAAATCTAAGATCATAAGAGTACAAAAGGACATCGCGATAAGGAATTTAATATAAAACAGATCTGACTAACAAATCACTTTTATCATAATAACGTGGCAAACAAATTGCAAGAGCCAAGACTATTTAACCATCGCTTTTAAAACGCAACACCGCTCTAAATATGCGCCATTACAATGCATTTATAAAATTAGTGCCTATACTGAGCACTGTTGCTGACTACATTAGGGAAGTAACGTATTTTATTTAATTTAAGCGTTTTTCCAGAGATAGGTGTTTCCATAGAACTTTTGTTGCTTTATATATTGACTTATTGTGTACTTAAACAGTGTGTTCCCCAATGGAGTTAGGCAACGTACAACTGAGTCGTTTGACCTTAATATATATCAGGATTTCACAAACGCACGATTTTCCCGTGGTTCAACTCATTCTCCAAACTATCTGGACTATGAAGACTATCTAGTTCCTAATAATAATTCATGCAGTTACTTCTTGGTGTTTAAGTGAAATAATGCGGCCAACCGTCTTCAGTGTACTGGCTTCATACTGGATAATCCCTCAAGGCTTTCCTTCGGACTTCCAATACACATCTAATTGTATGCATAAAAGGCATTAAAGCCATCAAGTCTTCACTTAATAACTCCTATGTAGATTTGCTTGTGTATATAACTGGGACAATCCATCTCTCTAGCACGTACTACCCAGCCCACATTTAATCAAACACCTCTTGTCACGCGCCGGTGATTATATGGCGACATGCCACGCATGGGTTAAACTAATAGCTAAGGAGCTTTAAACATTCACCATTGAAGATCGACCCAATGGTGAGCAAAATGGAGCAACTAATAATTCACAAAAGGAAGAGATTGTAGCTTACTAATAGTAAGGCTAATAATTAAGAGACCTACGTTTTAATTCAGCACGAAAATGACTGAGCGATTATTTGATCAAACTGTGCAGTGGGCTCACTGTAAAGAGATAAATTTTTGAGTTATCGACAAGCAACCTAGTTTTGAAAGAAACTTTCAGGTTCATCCATCAGTTAATGCGCTTCAAGATTACAGAGTATGATATCGCCGATCGTTCAGACTCACAGTCTATTCTGGATCTGCTACCTTCAAGGAAAGCGCAATGAATAAGTAACCTTGCAAAAAGCATGTTAAAAAAAGAATCCTAATTAAACAAAACCAAAAATAGTTGATTAAATATTAGGTGCTAACAAGCATTAATAAAACTTTACCAGGATTCACACTTTCTGCCTTAAGTTATAGGTTTCTTCTTGAAAGCCTCAGCGTATACTTACTCCTTATCGTTATACGACAGGCTAAAACCATTTTGTAGGGACAAAAGTTGAGGTAAATCAAAAGTTAAACTGGAGATATAAGAAAAGAGACCTTGATGGAGGATGACACCAACTCGTAGCCGCCTGCTTACTATATTTTTGTGCCGACTCCTACATAACGCATTGACGTAGCAGCTCAGTTACCTTTTCAACCGTTTATCAGTTGCAAATATTTCAGCTATTTCATATCTGCGCAAGTTAGAAGGTACTTGATGCATACCATTTCTTAAAAATTCCAGTAAATATTTTAATGTGCGTGAAATGTTGTCCCCTTAATTTTAGCAACATTTGACCATCTCGAAAATTCTGATCTTGGCTAGGCTCTGGTATGAAGCATATGAGCTCCTGGGACTAAAATATTGCAATCAACTTATGAGCACTGCTTGGGAAATTACATGGTATTTTGGCGGTAATAGCAGCGGAAGCCTGTGTGAAGATGAGAATGTGAATGTGGTCCTTGTGATTTAGCGAACGTAGTGTTGTATCCAGCCAAGGAAATAGAAACAGGAAACAAAACTGCTATAATTTGTAGATAATGTGGAAGTTTGGAATGTTAATCACCAACTATGAGCTTGTACCACTTAAGAAGCTGAGATACAGAGCAGAAGGCATTAATTAAATTGTTTACGATGAAATTGTAAGTGTTTAACAGATTATACACAAAAGCAAGAAAAACTGCTTTGATGGATACAAGCATAATCAAATACTGAGTATTTCCAGCTACTCATAAAAGTGCCTCTAGTTAAGCAAATATATTTCGTTGATAGTGTACAAAAAGTGAAGTACTTAGATTAGCGGGTTCCACTAACTGTGTGTCAGTAATCAAGATAATTATAAATCGTTCGAAAGGATTGAATTAAATCGATTAGTGAGTAGGCGTTGGGATGAATAACGCTAAGTATCTGCCCAATGTTTGATTTGTTTACAACCATCCCAAATTTGGAATGCGGGGTTGCATGAACAAACCATGGAATCGCTACAAGATGATTGAGGATTAGAGTATCTAGGTCAAACGCCTTTATTGTTGGAATATACTCAGCTGGTTTTATGTAAGATTGGTGAAAGCTGTTACCACCGTTGATAGGATAAACGGAGTTATAGGGTTAGTGAAGGTGGATCTAGTTAGGGTTGGATTCAAATTCTGCTCGAATGAACTATCGCGTGAAACGAACTGTTCTACGCTTCACTGTAGGTTGTTCTTTACGCTAATTCATGACTTTTCTACTATATTCTTAGATCTACAAGGAATGTCCAAAATGGGGGTAGTAGATATCTTCGTGTGGTCATAAAGGTGACCATAATACCATAATCTGTTAAGGTATAAATAGGATAAGGGAAAAATTTTAAATGCTATTAAGCTCACAAGCAGCTGTCTTAAAGATGAGTTGCCCAGTTTAACGAATTAGCCCCAGAAAAGCATGAAGTAGTTCTGGTAATCTTGTGGTCTAACCATATAAGACATCATGCTAGACGCCTGACAAAATGATTTTACATTCTTGAGATCATCATAGTCACGGACGTGGAATTCCTCTATGCTAGCCTATGCGGGAAATATAGTGATTTTACTCAGGATTTGTTTGATTTAACCATCAAAAGAGGATTTCGACGGCTTAGGATTGGTTTTGGTTTCCTCGGAGATAATGTTAAAGGTTCAAATAGTAACTCTAATTAGTAAAACCAAAAAATTTTATATAAAAAGTGGAAAATAGGAATATAGGATTCCAGTTATTAAACGAGCATAAGTGATTGAACAGCCGTAAAATTTATTTGTTACTCTGATGACCTTGTGTTAACATTTTATGTAACAGATTTTTCAATAATCCCTAGTCTAGTTTGAGCGACTGAATTCTATCTGGGTTTTGTTGATGTGATAGACGGCGGCTGGAATTAATTTTAATGTAATATTGTTACCTGGCTTGTAGATCCAATTACAGAACATTTGTTGTTAGACATAGGATTATTCATCGATTTTCCGGCAACGGGAGACCCCACGTCATTCCTACATTTATTTCAATACATAAAACTGCGTTTTGTTGGGTAATCATGCTACCCCAATGCGTAAAACTAAAAAGTTTACTCCAGGTAACGCTTTGGTGTCGCATGGAATGTTTATGCCGTTGCATGTTCGATGCCACCCACCAGTTGTATCTTTTGCATTTCCTTAAATACAAGGCGGTGTATCCGTTGTTTGCCCGTCAGAGAATAACACAACCTCGAAGATGATTCGGACACACCGTGACCCGTTCTCATCCAGAACTCTTTCTGTCTTGTGTCTTAAATTGTTCTACGCCCAAAAGCAGTGCCATATTGAAATCTTCCGCGGTCTCTCTGCAGTGGCAAGCCCAGAAGCATCGAAGCTAAAACTTGAGGAACACCGGCGTTTGAAGGCATAAGTACCTAACAAACATCTACTCCCCAAATTCTGTCACAAGCCTCCGCAGCTACTTCTAAAAGCCATCAATGTATCTTATGGCAGAGCAAGGAAATTGAATCAGCGCATTAATGAACATACATCAACCGAAAATTCTGACATCTACATAAATGTTTATGCAAGATTAACCATCTCACTAAACGAGGTATTTACCCTAATAAAGCAAATTAGTTCATTTTGCCCAAGGAAACGTATTGAAAACGGAAGTATTATTTATGACACCAAGGTCGTAATAGCTTGAATCGTCCCATAGGATGACCACAATGTAGATTGTGATAACAATGACGAAAAATTAGCATGGTAAAAGGAAAATGTTCCTTTTTGAGCGACTCCTTAAACTAGTCTCAAAAACATGATGTTGGTTTCCTCACAGTAATGAGACCGAAAGTGTTGATAAGCGGTTTGTTTAGTTGGATTCACTTCGTCCCATGGGTTAAATGCACTGTATCACGTAATGCATGTAAGAGACTGTTTCGTCAAGGCGTTTTCTGATAAGCGTTATTGTTGGTGGAAAAGTGACAAGAGTCAGAGGGTGTTACATGTTCTGGACACCCGGAGGCAGAAAATATGTTGTCGAAAATGAAATCGGCCACAGTGAGGAGCAAATTTGAGCATCTAATTTGGCATCTACTTTTGGCATTTTGAGTCAATTGCATCAGGTCGCGACAGTTATCACTTGGGTTCGTCAACATTTAGTAAACGGTTATATCTACTTGCTGACGCCAATATTCACTGATGTTCCATCTCAGAGCTTGCACCCTTTGTTGGCAGGGTAGGTAGAACAACCGGTTACAAATATCGTCAGGCCATGTTTTAGGGGCCCTATAACTGTATCATTATCTTGTTTGAGCCTAGAACGCCATGTTTGGATCGAG